TGCACTCATATTCAATCTTGGGGGGGCGGCTGGACTCTCAGTTCCACGAAACATTCGTAAAAGTGGGACAGCAGAGCCTCCCTGTCGCCCAGAAGGAAGCTCTTGCTCGCTCTCAGCTGCCAGAGGCCAAGGCGCAAATATGGTTGACCTGGCATCTTAGAACCAGCTCGTCGGCCACGCGGCCTCGGAGAGTTTCCAGCGTGAATTTACCAAGGAAAACACCCCCCAGCTTCCCCCGGCAGCATAGTGCTCCCCAAGATTTACCTTGGCGCGGACAACGAAGGTGTTCAGGACTCAATAGGTGTGAGGAAACTCCTGCTTCCAGTTCCAAACGGTCCGAGACCCTAGCAGCGGGCAGCCATCACCGCCGCCATCTTAGGGCAAGAAGAGCGTGGGGACGTTGAGACTTTCCACGGTGGGCGTGGTGGTGCCGTCCACTGGGGGGCGTGGGGGACGTGGTAGTACACCTTCTTGAGGGGCGGGGGCGCTGTTGCCAGTGCCTGGGAGGCTTGAAGCAGGTGGATGACAACTTCAAGGCCATCCTGGGCGACTTATCTCTGCCTCAAAATGAAAATAAACAAAGGCCATGAGTTCAAGCCTCAGTACAGGTGGTGGAAGATCCAAAATATAGAGAGTTCTGTGTACGTTTTGACTGTGGCTGTCACGATTACAGCTACAGAAATGCCTCGAGCTCCTACAGAATTCAGGTGAAAAGAGGAACCATGTGTAATTTGGAGGGAAAAGAGTTCTGTGTGGGTCATCTATTTGTGCAGCCAAGAGGAAATGCACCTACTGGGCAGCTGAAAATCCAGGTCTGAATTTTATCAGGGAGGGAGAGAGAATTTTTTTTATTTTAACACAGCACATGCCTTCAAAGTCCTTTGATGTGTGAAATGACCCATGCAATAGTGTTCCTCCCCTACAGAAGCTTACACTCTGCTAATAAGACTTTGTCACAGGCTCTACAAATAAGTATAACACAAGGCAGGCTCTGAGAGGTACCAACTGGAAGAGCAAAGTTGTCTGAGCTTAAGGAGGAGGGAGGGGTCTCCTCTGGCTGGAGCAATCAGGGAAGACTTTCAGAAAAAAACGATAACATTCTCCAATGATTTCATGGTTTTCTTTTCAGCTTTTCCTTAGGACCCTAATGCCTGCTGATTGTTCCCATTTCTGAATGCCCTAAGTTCCCAAAGTGCAGTACCTCGGGAGAAAGTGGTGAGATTGTCCTAAAATTAAATGAACCCAGACTGAATGACTAACTTATATTCTGCCTCTTCTTTTATAAAATGGTAACCGGAGATTAAAGAGGCATGGACTTCTTTTCATATCTTTGCTTGGCAAAATAATCTCTGGATTTGCAGGGGAGTGGCTTTAACCAGTCTGTGAGAGCCAACCATCTGGGAACCTGGCATGTTCACCATCTATACTGCTTACAAGAGCATCTGAATGCAGCTGTCATTGTCCCTTTCACTTGTTTCGCAGCAGTTAGACTGATGTAACAAGGAGCTTCTGCAGGCTAGAATCAACAAGGCTAGGCTCAGAGCAGGTATTCCAAAGTACTTCTAGAAGGGCTTAACTTCGTTGCTTGCAGTTAGCAAGCAAAATCCTGTTCTGCCTTGGGATCAGCATGTGACACAGGCAGTAAATTCAATTGATTATTTACACAGCTGTAGGAACAAAAATCACATACAACAGACTGGTGAGAGGCTAAGGAGACAATTCTTGCTGCATGAACGAAGTCAGAACACTGCTGAGGTAAAATCCAAGCTATTTGTTAGGTTTCTGGTATGGTATCCAGTCAGGCTCTTTCTTGTAGAACCTGCCACTCTTCCTGTCAAAAGTTATTCCTAAGAGGGGCAAAGAGCTATTGAGTCCCTCCATGTAAAATACAGCTTTATCTCGAAGGAAAGAAAATTGAGGCTTTTTCAAAGTTTCTGTGCTTTATGGAAAAATACTATAATTTGTAGCCCTTGCCTAGAAGTATTAGAAAATTGAAACATTACAAAGTGAACAACTATATTTAAAGGCCTAGCACATTTGTGTAGAATATTTGGACAGATGTGAAAATGGGTCCTATACTGATCTGGCTGGGGCTAAATCAGCTCTCTAAGATATTTAGTGCGTCCTCTGTGTCCTTAGCTAGGCCCCTCTTTTGTTGTCGTGTTTTTGTTTATTTATTTTACCTTTCCTAGCTGCTGCTGAAGAGCCCAATCTAGGGAAAGCCCCGTCATTTCCTGACTTGGCTGGTAGGCAGGTCCCTTAGCTGGATAGTATGATATACCCAATCTGGGGTATTTAATAGCTTAATATATTGCAACTTCCTACAAACATAAATATAGTATCACTCACTGCCTTAACCCAAAGACACTTCACTGTGGCAAGGCCAATGGGAAAGATGTTAGGACATACAACTCACTGCATTTTTCAGATTATACCATCCATAGATTATCAGTAAGTGCAGTGTTTAAGAATTTGATCTATGATTTTGCAGCTGAACTTAAGTGGGTGGGGGGCAAGGGTGGGTCTACCGTCACATGACAGGCTGATGCCACTCCTGCCCACTTATTCCCTGTCCCTGCTTGCTGGGGTGGCCCAGCAACCCCATTCTTCACAGTCTCACAGCAGTTGCAGTGCTCCCCTGGATGGCACCAAAAGTGATATGAACAGGGCATAATGATAATACAAAGGAAGTTTCCTGGAGACAGCAATACCTGAGTGGACCACTAAAAGAGATGTAGAACTTGTCTAGGTACAGGGCTGGAGAGGGAATAGGAGTGAACAGCTGAAGTAAAACAGACAACAGGACTGAAGGCATAGAGGTAAAAAGAATGTAACTTGTCTGGGGAACAGTCTTGAGATGACTGAATCTTGAACTGCAAAGTTGTCAATGCCAAGAGATGAGGCTGGAGAGTTAGGCCAGAGTGAGAGTAGATCAAAATGACCTAGTCTTGGGTCACTATAAATAGTACAGACTCATTTTAATAGCAATGGGGAACCATAAGCTGTTGGGAGATAATTGATATGAAGTAGTTTAATAGAGTGGTTAACACTATAGCATCTACAGTTTACATTAGTTCAACTCCTGGCTTTTCTCTTACCAGCTGTGTAACTTCCATTAAGTTTTCTAATCCATCAAATGTGGAATGTCTTTTATTTATTTGTTCTTTTATGTTTCTTCCAACAGTATTTTGTAGTTTTCAGTGTGTAAGTCTTGCACTTCTTTTCATAAATATATTCCTTAGTAGGAATTGTAGTTTTCACAGTATTATAAATGGATGGGGGGGAGTTCTAGGTATTGAACCTAGAGTCTTGTGTACTTTAGGCAAGCACTCTAGCCCTGAGCTTTAGTCTCAGCCCCCCAGTTTGTGTGAAACAAGGTCTTAGTAAGCTATTAAAAGGTGGCCTTGAATTGTTTTATCCTCCTGCCTTAAGCTCCCACGTAGCTTAGATTACACTAATGTGCCACTATGCCAAACGTAAATGGAATTTCTTTCTTAAATTCAATTTAGGGCTGTTTATTGCTAGTGTGTAAAAACTGTCAAAAGCTTGGATGATAGGACACTGAAAACATTTTTCATTACGGACAATAGGACAAAGAGAGCATGTTGGGTCCCATGTGTACTATGACTAACAACTAACATTTCAAGATGTGTAAACACAAGCTTTCCCCAAAGCACAAGTATGGAGTATGCTGGGTTGCTCTTCACAACCAAGGATGTGGTTTCAAATGGTGAAGGGCAAGCCCATCTCCCTTTCCTAACATTAAAAAAAAAAATCCCCTTCAAGCTGTAGTGCTATTTGTCTCCTGATTTCCCTGCACTTAAGTAAATTTCTTCTGTACTTATTCTACTCTTGGTAAATTCTTTTAGCATCCACATTATCAGACTCCCATATGCTATCGAGCATGACATTTTGGTGACTCACATGAGGTGCCTCTCTCTTGGCTTCTCTTCACTATGGTACTTGTGTATAGTTGGCAGATTGACCCATCAACAACTGAAGGTCCCTGGCCAAGGTAACTCTGGGCTGTGAGCCCAGCCACTATGGCCCATCAGTATATGTGCTAAGGAGCTCCTTTTGGCCCTTTACAGAAAGCCTTATTTCCTGTTTGTTACTGAAAGACTCTGGCCAGAGCTACATTCCTATGTGACATGACAGTAGCAGAAAAATGAAATAGTCTGCAAGGGTAGTGGACCATTAATTCTTCCTGGAGTCATCTCCTCCTACATGTGGTACAGTTGGCAGCAGTAGCTAGTCCACTGCAAATTCACACATGGTGGGATCTCCATATCTCACATTCTGCCTCAGAGAGGGTCCTCTCCTAATACAGGCCTATTTTGGCCAGCACTGGTCATCGTCATTGTCTCATCATATTGGTCAGTTTTCATTGTCCTTTGGGTATTGGCCAAATGCAAAGAACTAATGATCTCCATCTCCTTTGCTCCTCAGTCATTGTTAGGGAGTCCAGCTTGATGACCCAGACATGTCAGGCCTCATTTCAAAGTGATTCCAAATTTATAGAACTGGGTCTCTATTTCTTCAAGTCTGAAAGGCCCTCCAATTGAAGGACATCCATGATCACGGGAGTTTTTACTTTCAGTCTCAGTTTCCGCTACTCACTCGGGGTGGCTGCAGAGCTTCAACAGGTGACCCTTGTCATGGGTCAGGAAACTTCTTTCTTGTGATTCACCCTTTGGGTGCCTTCTCAAAATTCAGCCCTCGGGCTCTTAAAAAGAAGCACCAGTGGGTGATTAGAGTGGAGCTGATGGCTATCCAAGTACTGAAACCAGGGGCATGGAAAGGAAGCAGCCTTCCCTGGCATAAGCTGAAATTTTCATTTTGTGTATTGGGAGAGTTGGTTGAGGCAGAAAGAGCAGGAGAGTCATACTGGCTTAGTGAAACTGTCATGATAGAGTCCTTGCTTTGATTGTGGCAGAAGAGATACAATTGACAGATTGCCAGTATATTGAGTATAATTGAGAGATCCACGTATCTCTCTGGCTGTATCTCTTGGTCTGAAAGCTTATTCTGTAGGCAGGCCATGTTGCAGAAAAATATTAGCTGCTTCTTTTACCTTCTTTATCCACCACTGACATTTGGTTTCTCTTTGACTTTCAGCAGTAACAGTTCTTTCTTTTAAAAACATAGTCCAGCCCAGATCCTCCTCTTTCCAACTACTTTTGGGAATGGCACTTGGAATCCAGTTTCTTCAGAGGAGCCACCAGCATGTTCACAACTGACACTAAACATCTCTTCTATCTTGAACTTGTTGCCTGAACTATTACCCTGTGTATGTTCTTTGTTTGTGGGGATCAAGTTTTCTTGTGCCTCTCTTGCAACCAAAGGAGTGTTTGTACCATTATTTACATTGGTACCATTATTGTGT